TTTATATTCAAAGTATTCAAATAATGTTGCTCATAATTTTCTTTATAATTTTAAGTCTCATAAACAAGAAAATGTTTTCATATAAAATTTAATTCGTTATCAATGAATCAATAAATCAATGATATGGCTATTATCAGGTCACACTCAGTTCACTGTTTTAATAAATGTTTGAGTTTAATGTCATATTTTTGCACTTATAGCCCAAACATTTTATAAGATTAGATAAGAATTTTAAAATAACATTTGTCCTTAAAGTTATTTTAAATTATACTGTATTTTGTTAGCTTATGTTTAGCAGTGTTCAGTCGAAGATTAAGTTTTTAGAGCAATAATCAATTCATTAGCAATGACTTCAAAGGTCTGTAAAAATTATGTTTGCACCCTGGACAGTATAATTATAATGAGACAATTATTAAGGCACAGGTAATCAACTGTAAAGCTGCCGTCCTCTGGAAAGAGGGAACACCACTAACCGTAGAGAATATTACTGTCGACCCACCACAAGAGGGTGAGGTAAGGGTGCGTATGGTATCGGCTGGTCTATGTGCCAGTGACGCCCACTTCATATGGGGCTGGGAGACGGACATCATACTAGACTTCGAGGGAAACCCAATTGTACTGGGTCACGAAGGGGCTGGTGTGGTCGAGTCTGTAGGACCGGGTGTGACTAGTGTTTCAGTAGGCGATCACGTAATCCTGTTGTGGACGCCTGACTGCGGTCAGTGTGCCCTCTGCTCCCATCCCAAGACAAACCTGTGTCTCAGCGATGACTTCGTTTCGGTTATGTATCACAAGAACAAAGAGACGCGACTGAAGATCAATGGAAAGCCATTGCTTTCATTCAGTAAATGACACCATATTTTAGATATTATTTATTGATTTAATTGTTTGTCACAAATAGCCGGTACGGCCACCTTCTCCGAGTACAGTGTGGTCAGAGAGACACAGATTGCTAAGGTATGGCTATATTTAGTGTTAATGAAGATTAATACGATTAAGGATTCATTAATTTTAAGGTCAATCCAAAGGCCAATTTGAAGAGTGCGTGTGTGATAGGCTGTGCTGTTGGCACGGGATATGGCAGTGCTGTGAACATAGCCAAAGTACATCCCGGCTCCAAATGTGCCGTTTGGGGTTTGGGTGCCATTGGGTTGTCAGCTCTATTGGGTTGCAAACAGGCCGGCGCTGAGACCATAATAGGAGTCGATATAAACTCCGACAAAGAGAGTATTGCCAAACAGTTTGGTTGTACCCGGTTTATTAATCCTAAAACTCTTGGTAAGAACTAATACAAGTTAAATGTGTGCCTTAAATAATA